TTATAGTGTTTTGCATTTACTGTCTACTGTAGAGAGTACATGTAAATATTTGCATTGCGAGCAAGAAGTTGTGTATAATTTACATTTAAAAATTTTTGGTATTGCTATATTTAGTTCGTTTGTTGATATTTCCACGAAAAATATCTCAGATCCTGTTATTTATGAATTATTTTTGTTGATACTTGTTGAACATTATCATAAAAAACAGTTTACTTTCTTAATTGCTCATCGGTTGAGAGGTGGTACGTGGTGAAATCTGAGTAGTGCATTTTTTTTATGTTTTGAAACGTATTGCTGATTCATATTGTTTACATTTTTTGTTAGTGTTTCGCTTCGAACAAGCATTATTGTGTGAGGCACTCTTGATTCGCACATTAAGATGTTGGGAGTGATCAGTGCCGCTTTACGAATTCATTCCGGTGACGATTGACTTTCATTCGGATTTTATTGACACACATCTTCACAAGGTACCTTTAGAGCAGTTCATTGAAAGCCATGGACATTCAGTGAATCCTCTGCATATCTAGGTTAGGTATCTTAGTGGGTTCGAAGGTATAAGATATGTCATGGACGGTTTTGAAGAGCTAGTGACATCGATCGTGAATATGTTCTCAGCGTTTACTCAACCCAGTTTGAACTCAAGTTATCAGCCTAAATTTAACGAATCGTTGTTTTGATGGTATTGAGCAAGTTTAACGTGTTGACTTGGCGTATAGATGGTATGGCTTTTCGTCGCGTGATGAGTTTTCTGGTGAATGTAGAGGCAAAACGAGAAAGAAGGAAATTTCATAAACTTCTCATATCATCTCATTTAATTATTCCGAGAAATAAGAGCACTTTTCTCGAAATAAAGCATTATCTCGAGACATATCGAAATATGAAAACTTTTTCTCGAAATGCTTCATTCCGAGGATTTTCCGTTCTATCTCAAAAATTCAACGAATTTCTCAAGAAGCAGCAGTCCGAACATACATCGATATTGCTCTTGTCGTATCTTATTCGAGGCCTTCGGATTTTTGTCATAATTTCGAGACAGGGCGAGGCGACAGAACATTAGGTCATCAGGAGAAAGATGGGTAGTTATGTTACTACAAGCACTTTTTCGGTCTTAATTTTATGATTTTAAATTTACTGACTTCCCTCACAGAGAGATGAAAGTGACTTTTCGTTTGTTTTCTGTCCATTGAAATGAAGCTTATGTGGAACCATAATGCACATGACGGCTAACAATGATCTGAACAAAACAGTGATACAAATTACAATAAGAACATTTAGCAAAAAGCAAGTTATCAGAGTCATAAATTTCATTCGCTTGATCATTCCGTCGAGGGAAGGAAGCACCACTGAACGCACGTGTCTTCTTGAACGGGTCAAATTTGGCTCATAGTTCGTCTTCAAATCGCGTTCAGCAAATTTTAAGAGCACAATCGTGAGTGATCAACACCACGAGCTCTTCAAAGTATGGCTCGACTCTTTTGACATTTCTGAAAATGCGAATCTCTCTTCGCTTGATAAAACTTGCTTTCGTTCATACACCTTTCACTCAATAGCAATGCGTCGTTTACCAAATAATTATCGCTGATTCACATTCAAAAACATTTATTTTTCTAAATCAACAGTCGGCAAACTACGCCGCACAAGCTGAATGTGGCCCACGGGGTGATTCCAGTTGTTTTGTGAAAGCTTTTTTAAATATAAAAAATCCGACCCGCGAACCATTCCGCATGATACTTACCATATATATATATAGTTTTAGAATACAAGTGATTCTCGAATATGAGTCTAAAATCTTTCAATTATTGTTTCATATTCGCAACAAATGGAAGGTTTTTCCTTTAGAAGAGATACAAAATGCGATTTTGAAATTGATAAATTGACAGATAAGCGATACCAAAAGGAAGGAAGGTTTTTGCAAATGAATAAATTTTCGATTCTTTTCTCAGAAATATTTTAAATCAAAATTTGAATTCTCTAAAAGTTATTTAATTTAAGTGTTTCAAGTTTTTCTCGTAATATTTACCCAAAAAAATATTATTTTCATTTCACATTCCTCGTTTTCTTTCTAAATTTTCCAGACGATCTGCTCAATAAAGTTTCATATTCTCTATTAATTTCATTATTTTGACCCATCAGGATCCAACATCAATGTTTTGCAAAAATGGTCAAATACCACATAAACGTCAGATTCCAGGAAAACTAGGTCTCATTAGTCTTACGTAGACTAAAGCGAGTAAGATAGTAAAAATTCAGGCTTGCACTTCGACTTAACTCTGAAGGGTTATTATTTTGTAATTTTCGAATGTTATTGAACTGTTGACTGTTGATGAAGTTTTGTTTAATGAACAGTGTTCATTTTACCTTCAAATTATTATCAAATGTTAAAATGGAATGATGGTTTTTGAGTGGTCTCGAAACTTAGTTGAATGCCACGAAAAATATTGTTCATCGAATTGAATCGGCGATCATTCAGAAATATGATAATCATCAACGATCTTTGCATAGCATTCAGTTTTAAATGATCATTTCATGAATTTCAGTTGAACACATCATTATTATTGTTATTATCGACAGTATGCATCTTCAAATATCAAAAGTGTCGGTTTATGTTGCTTTATGTAGCGGACAATTCGCTATGAGTATAATGCAGACATTGTTCATGTTTTATTACGTACGCGTATTTCGAAGTGTTTTTGAGATCGACAACTTTTGGTTCAGCATAGCGCAGTTATTGTTTGTCGTGTGGAACTCAATAAACGATCCACTGTTTGGTTTCATTCAAGTTTGTTATTTTTAATTGTTTGCATTCATCTGAATGATGCAAACCTTTCAGTATTTCACCAATCAGAAAGGTTTCTTTACTAATCGAAGTGGACTTGCAACATATTGCAAGTGATTCTTTGATTGCAGTTTCTTCAGAGCACAACAACACGCTAAGCAAATCATCCAGTTAAAAATGTAATCCCTTATGGCATTGAGCCTTTCATTGATAATTTGAGCGTTTTGGGTTGAGATAACGAGTAAAGAAGTTTAGAATGCAACGTAATGAAAAGCAAGATATTTCCTTTGGAGATGAGCTCAACGTTTGGATGCTAGGTTAGATTGGGATATAAAAACACGCCGGGTCTGAATTCACGTTCAGCTTCCGACCTAATACTCTATTTTGTTCTATTCTCTGAGAAAGAAATTCATTTGAAGTAATTTGATCAGTTAAAATTATTCTTTTTCGAATGTATATTTTTCGGATACGGTTTTGACATATACACTTCAACTGCTTAACATTCGTAATGAGGTGGTTAGGATGAAAGTGATGTTCCTAGAAGATGGTAAAGTATTATTTCAAGGATTTGTCCGATTCATGGANAATGTATATTTTTCGGATACGGTTTTGACATATACACTTCAACTGCTTAACATTCGTAACAAGGTCGTTAGGATGAAAGTGATGTTCCTAGAAGATGGTAAAGTATTATTTCAAGGATTTGTCCGATTCATGGATGCGTAATCGACGTAAGGTTATCGTTTATTTGAGTCCATTTTTATGTGCATCGTTTCTGTTGTTATGGTTTCCATGGACAAATCATACCTCACATTCATTTCTTACGGGTCTTCATCTCATTGTTGCGTTATTCTTATACGATGCATTTTACAGGTATGCTGATTTAGTTTTTACTTTCAAATATCATAGACTTGGGACAAAACAAGCCAACTAGTGTAAACATAGAATAAACTTTAAAGAAACTGACTGTATCTTTTAAGGTTAATTAAGTTTTAGTATTCTTATTAAGTATATGATCTTAATCTGATTCGTTCAACTATTGACATTCGAAAATGCATCCTCAAATGATAACTTTTCTGTGCATTTCTCGTGTCAACGGTTCAATTTCATTTGTTTGTTTTTTTCAGTTGTATTAACGTTGCATGGGGCGCGTTATTTGCTGAATCAACTCATGATCCCATTACACGAGTAACTGCAATAAAGTATTCGCAATTCGCAATTTTAATGTCTGTGAATATAATCTCAATCACCGAAAAGCTTTCTCACAGTCTCGAAGTGAGCCTTTTTTCTCTTAAGATGCATTCGTGCATCCAATGCAAGAATAAAAGTTTTAAAGACGCGTTACATTTTTTTGATTTTTTTAGGGCAAGAAAATATCTCTGATGCGTTTTGAGTAGCTATCTAAATGTTTCTGTCTCCTTTAGAGCAGTTTTTCTTAAATAAATTTCAGAATTTCTTCATATTTCAATGCACATGTACGGTGGCAGCATTGGTTGCATTAGGATGTTTTTGCATAATCAAAAATATGAAGGAAACTGATGGTATTATGATTGAACGAGCTGCACTGGTGCCGAATGATGAACACGCTAAAATTCGTTCAGCGCTGAGTATGGCGTTGCAAGTTTTGAAAAGACTTGATTTTGTTGTACTCGTATTGACAAATTTTCTTCACAATTGCAGGTTAAAACAATGTTTGTTCGTTGTGTTCGTCTATTCGAAATCATCAATGCCTATAAAAGTTCCAAGAAAATCTCCTTAGAAGATATAGTCTAATGTAAGGTTATTAACTTGGAAGGTGTTTACGTCAAGGGTATAGTTCCAGCATGTTAGTGAAGGAATGCGCTCATTTGGTAACACTAAATCAAAATTCGTTACTTTCATAATTACTATGCAAGTGGTATAACGTAACGTTCTAATGCTTCTCACCTTATAGTTAGAAATACACGTAATGGGGTAATAACAATTCGGCGTAAATGGAAAGGAGACATGAATCTAGCGGAATGAGCAATTCTAAGCGAAAAAATTATTCTGCAGGTCGGTGTCTCATCTTAATTTTGCGGCAATGGCCGTTAAAGTCTTAATACCGGAAGAGACGTTGCCCAATGGTTCATGGTCTAAAAGTTTCTTTTTCGGAGCTTGTACAGTTCTCCCGCAGGTGTTGCCTACTTTGTGAACTATTTTCATTCATTCAGTGCCTTAAACATTTCAACTTTATAATTAGTTTAGTTGTTTGAAGTTTTGTTTTGTTTGATTATGTTTGAAACTGTTAAGCAATCCAAATCGAGTTTGTTTTGGCATCGTAATTGGTAGTATGAGATTATGAAACAATTCGAAAATAACAATGTCGTTGGGTAATGATCGGCGGTTGAAAAATATGATCTGTAATTCTCCGTCAGGTACTCATAATCGGCAGTGGCAGTTTCATATCGAAAAGAGGTGTGTATCGAGTCATTATGACATCATTCATTCTTTCGATAGTTTCGGCTATAATTTTTTCAATATTCGCTGGCAATCGTCCCTTATTAGTGATGTTGTTCATGTTCTTCGACAGGTGATAACTCTGCAGTCTTCGTTGAAATTATGTTTTTATCAGTCAACGACTATCAGACTCATTTTGAAATGAAAATTTTTTTACAGTGTTTTGGTTCATTCAATCGCACCATTATTTCAAATATTAATCGCTGAATTTGTTGATGATGATGCTAAACGTCTTTCTAGAAGGTTTTTTAAAGTTTTAACTACTTAATTTTATTGGTGATTCTCTGGAATTCATCATTTTTTTATTCATGCGTTTTGTCTGATTTTTTAAATTGTTATGGATTTGGGTTACTTTCCTTTTTCATCTAAACAACCTCAGCGCCTGATGCACTTTCATAGTTCACAATCCTGTAGATATTTTACCAATTTTATCATTATTACTTATATTTTATTGAGAGATGAATAAGAATTCGTTACGAATACTTTTTGTAGTCAATAAAATCTAGGATAAGTTTTGAGTGGGTTTCAGCAAACCGATCTCTTCGTTAATATTCAGTTTGAATGCTCTGTTAGTGAAGCCAGCTCAGTCGATCACGCCAGTTATTGTTTTGTTTATTCTTGGCGAACGATACACTAATGCGGTTAGCATCATTCATCTTCGCCTACTTCATTTTATCTGCGGTTCTTCACAATTATTCTAGATCATGGGTCGGCAACCCCGGCCCGCGGGCCATAATTAGCCCGCCGAAAATATTTTTTGGCCCGCCAGACGAATTTGAGAATTTGATTTTAAAGAGGTAAAAAATGAATAGAAAAAGGTTTTAAATTATTTAGCTATTACACTGAAGATTTCCGACACAGAATTTCCTAATAGACGATGAACTGTGTCGCTGATACATTTTAAAAATCTTGGCCCGCCAGTCAGTTGCTCAGAAAAATTTTGGCCAGCGGTCAAACCTACTTGCCGATGGCTGTTCTAGATGATGTGATTTTATTGGTTCATGCAAATATAGAAGAGTCATTGGGATTATGCAAAAAAAAATTGAAATTTCATAACTAGAAGTAGAACTGACATGGCAAAAACTTTGGCGATATGCTGATATTCATCTGTGAAGTGGTTCTGAAATGATCATTTACTTCATAATTAGTTTACTGTCTTTAGAAGAACTAATAACTCGTTTCAATGATTCATTGGATAATATCGTACAATAATATTATTTAATTAGTTATGAGAAGAGTTTGAAATAAATAACTGTGAATTAAGTTACAGGCGTACGACAGTGCAAAATTTGAAGAGATGGAGCATGAGAAGACAACCATGTGGTCTATCGTTTGTTCAACGCCGCTACTGCTGGCAACAGCCCAGTGTTTTATATTACGCTTCTATTCACTGAAAAATGCTCATCTTAGCACGAGACTTTCGCGAAATATTTGACTGTTATATGCGTTATCTCATTGGAATTATTTTGCATAGAGGAATGAGATGGTTGTTCTTCTCATATCTATACTGATTACCTCGTTTTTCTCCAGCTAGCCTTTTCGTCTCTTCTTTTTTCAAGCAATCGCTCAGGAAGAAGTCTATTGAAGAATGTGTGAGTGAGTCACTTATTAAAATTTTAATCGAGACTAACACATATTCTGATTAAATGTTTGCAACAATGAACCACTCATATCAATTCTTGCTTCGGTGCACGTTTTAGCTTGTATGATAGAAAACCGACTTGTCAACAACATCGACTTGTGCAAAGTGCTTCGTGCTCATATTCTATATATCTAAATGATTTTCAGTCAGTTTTTCTGCATCCGTTAAATTATTCCTTTTTCCCGTGCTTCAGTTTGCTAATTCCTTCAGTCACTAGAACATTTTCAGCACCACTAATTCTTCGATGAAGCAAAATGTTTTGACAACATCAGACTGGTATTTCTTATGTCTTTCTATCCTCGAATCATTCAGAATGACGATCACAGTTCATAATTTCAACGTTATGACGAAACGCTCATTTAAATTGATCACGAGCCGAAATCTAGCAGTTCATCGTTCGACGAAAAACCATTTATTGGGCTTCAAGTTATTGTTGATAGACGAATTTTCAGTGCTGGGTTACAAACGTCAATACATTCTTCAAAGTGTTTTGCAGCCACTTTACAAAGTATCAGCGGACTGCAATTCACCTCATCAAAAACATGAAAAAGCATAAAATCAAGGAAATATGATTAAATTCAATTGAGATCCTTTGTGATGAACCGGATATGATTGCTTCATTGTGGATGAAAAATGCTGAGATTAATTTCCGTTCAGTTTCTGATTATAATTGAAATCGAGGAAGGAATTTGCGAAATTCATCAGTTTGTTTGTAAGTTTCGCTGTAGATACTAACGATAAGCAAAGTAATTCAAAGTTGTGGTCAACAAATTAAATTCTTTAGTTTTGTTCGTTAATCTGAGGAGAATCAAATCCTGATTTTAGGAGTTTTTCACATCCACAATCTAGCAGTAGTCGAATACATTTTCAAGGACAACAATTATAATGAATAGTATAAGAGAGAGTGAAATACGATTTTTTACATCATTCATTATACAATGGAAGGGAATGATTTGACCAATAGCATCACGAAGTCATCTGTCCGATACATAATTGCTCATGCGAAATTCATTCGAAAAACCGCATTCATTGGGAACGACTTTCGAAGAAGTAAACAACTTCTCTAGTGAGCAAACAACTTATGTAAATGAAATCAAATTCAACAGCGATCGTTGTTAATATTGTTACCACGTAGTGAGAAATTAAGGAGCCATGAAAATTAGGAGGAAAGAGTAGTGAAAAGATTATGAAGTATCACAGGACTGATGATATTTCGTACGAAACATTAATACTGGAAATCAGCCGAGGAAAAAGCTACATGAGGAAGTCATCACAAATAAATTGCCTGTGAAGATCATGTATATGAGGAATGAATTGATGTAGCTGAATACGAATCTCACATCCAATCACAATAATCAGCTTAAAATATCATACAAAAATAAGAAATCCTCGAACAAAGGTTTTTATTTCAGGAAGAGAAAAAACTCGAGTAATATCAAGTATCAATGTGGTCACGAACATTGCTCTGTTTCACTCTTAAATTGTTGTCGTTATATACATCCGTTGGATGATTCCATTGATGAATTTGACGCATACAACTTGTGCAATTTCATCAAGCCGTATAGTCTCAGATATCACTCAGTTTGTGTCGTTTGTCCGCATTTTTTCGATCAACAGCAACATGTTTTTCTATTCGATAAAGCAGTGAAGAGCATTGCTATTGACCATTTGATATGGTACATATTTGCACGTTATCAAGTCAGATAAAAGCGCCGCTATCAAAAGCAACACTTCGAAACGATGAAATTTTCCGGGGCTCAAGTTCGGCCTTTGCCTGGCACCTCGAGTTCATTTTGGCTGAAACTTGCCAAGGCATCGATTCAGGCTTGATCGGAAGCTCGTTTAGCTTAATTCAAACTGAAGTTAAGCAGTGGCGCATTTTTCATAGTTTTTATGTAGGCGCCATTTATGACCCAATTCAAATAATATCAGTAGTATTGCAAGAGCAAACAAGCTTTAATGAAACATTCCGTCAATGACTTGCATTCAGAATAGCGATATTTGAATAAGCAAACAATGTGATTAAATGAGAAGATACGATGATTCATCATGATTTTTTTTGCTCATGTAGGAATGAAAGTTTTGAATGAGTCACTCAAGGTGAATGAATGCTTTTCAGTACGGGTAGAATGTTGAATTGATTTCAAAAATTTTATGATGATACTGCTTTGATGAAATGAATATATAAACAATTAGCACGATGAACAATAAAAATTTGAATTAAGTGCTTGATCTTGTTCCAGACTAACACCTTGACAATCAGCCAATGGCAAGCCAGTATGCTCAACAGATTGCTGGATTCGTTGCATCACTAAATCCAGTAAACAGTCAACTGCTTTTTCAACATTCGTTGACGTGCATGCAGACGTCTCGAAATAAGGCAATCTGAAATTTTTTATTTCGAAACACGAATGCAATTTGGATGCAGCATTACGTCAGTGCTTCTGAATTAAAACCTCATCAATCAACTTCACACATCGAGCATAAACACGTTCGATTAATGACGTCATCTTAAGGCAATGCTTCAAATCAAGAACCTTGCGTAGAATATCTGTACAGAACGAACGAAGAACAACACTATTTAACGAAGTTTAGCTTTTGTTTCCACATAAATGCACTGTTTGTAATGGGATATGCGGAATCTGGTGCTACAATCCGTTTTCCCTGTCAGCCATCAAATTTTTTTCTTCGAAACCAACTGACTCCATTCAAATAACAATTATGAATTCGAATAGCTGTGATTTGGCTTGTACCTAACTATCTATTCATCTAATAGTATCAATGACATTGGTACACCACTCGGTTTCGAGTGTAAATTTCGTCCGCGAACAAGAAGTCGAATCCACAATGTATCAATTACCAGTTGGATGCCCTTCCTTTGACTTATCGCGGAAACTGTTCAGTCTCCCCCAAGTGGTTGTGTTAAGATCTCTATTTGGCTTGTATCTAATTATCTATTCATGTAATCAAATAGCAACTGGATTTAAAGGCACTAAATATTTTTTGCTTTAGTAATTTGCATGCAAAAGTTCAGTGATTGTCGGAATTCATTTTGAGATTGTCCGCATAAAAACACTCAAACTATAGCACAATTTTTACTGCTGTTTAATGTAATCAACATAATGAATTACCCCAATTGATCTGCAAGTTGCTTTGCACGTGCGGTACTCACTTGCCTTCGATTTTCAAGGTCTGCCTTGTTACCGCAAATTATTATATCTGGAGTCTCACAGTATGCGTGCACCTGGAACATTCTTATCATCGTCATTTCCAGTTGCTTAGCAAGTTCGTCGAATATATTTCAACGTCTAATATTATCCTTAGATGCAGATGGTCACTCTACTGAATTCAAATCTTCATTACACGAAAGCATGCACACACGCGATCGATCCCTTGTCTCGTATTCAAAAACGCATTTCTTATTCGGTTATCTAGCATTTTCATTTACGTGAGTTATTCGAAAAATTATTTGTTGGAGAGTAGACGTTTTTGCAACGAGTAGAAAAGTAGAAGCTTTCAACGAAAACAAAAGCTTTTGCTTTTGCAACTTCCTCAAATTTTACGATACGGGCATTCATAAAGTTTAGTTTCTTTGGACAGCACGCACTGAAACCATAACAATTTTTTTAAAACTTTTACTAAGTTCGTCGAATAGTAATATCGCATTTCGTTATTCAATTTTCTCAGTATTTATTGCTAATGATGAAATAGTGCATAAGAGCTGTTACGCTTGAAATGCATCACAATTTTGTTCATTCTTTTCAGATTTGCCCTGATTGGGTTTTTTGTTGTAAAATTATGTGAGATAAAGTTGACTGGAGTAACTTCTTGTTTTATCATCAACCGGTATTCAGAAATTATGGAGTTTTTTATTTCCAGTTTTACGGTTCACGTTTTGATCAAATTAAATTGTCGTCTAGATGTGTTGGTTTGAAAGAAGGAAACCAAGAAAAGAACCTTTAACTGCGACAGCCAATCCCTAATATTCAGAAATGATTGTTCGTTAGTGATATCGAAAATTAAAATGAAGCCCATTGCATCCCTAAAGAATGCTGTTGTTAAACTGCGAAACCTGAAATTGGTAATATTGTAGCATCACAATTTCAAACAAACAAATATAAAGTGAGCAGTTGACATTCGCAAAGTATTTCGGTTAATACTTCAGTTTGAAAGACGACGATCGAATGAGAAAAGAAAAAAATGGCGTCATTCGAATGAGTAAAGAAAACATTTTTGTTGGGGATAGATTAAAATTGCAAATTTTAATCAGGAAGGCATCAAAGTGCAGTCAACAAAAATGTGAATAGATAGACAGACAGTGTAATTGAAAAGATGAGCTTTATGAGCAAGACGAGGATTCTTTTACTCCTCGGATGCGTAGTAAATGAAGCAATTTGAAAGTTCCATTACTTGATTATCAATTTTAAACAGTCCAACAATTTGCGTGTTTTATTTGATCAGAAAAAAAGAAGTTTCTGAATCGAGAAATATTAAAAATTCATCAATATTTTATTACTGATATTCTCTCTTCACTCGTTAATAATGTTTATAACTAAACAACAAGCAATAGAATATTTTCACGTTCATATAATCCAACATCCATTACAATTCATTTTTCTCGTTAAATGCCAATGTAGAGTGTTCCCATGACGTATATTTGACTAAGCAATACTATTGAAAATTTTATGAAAAATTACGCTGATTAAATTTCATAGCATTCCCAACTCTACTCGTTCGTGTATACTTATTTATTAGAGTGAGAGGAAACTGAAACCTTTCTTGCCCTGCAGTATCCCATAATTGCAAGAGAACTCTTTGACCACGACCACCAAATCCTCCTCGTCCACTTTTATATACCTTAATAATTATTCATCTTCGATTATCATTCTAAGAAAGAAAAAAAATCACATCAAAAACATAAAATGTGTAACAAAAGGCGGTCGATATCAATCACTGTATCTGAATGATATTAATAAAGAAATTTCAGTTATTTCCGAACAAAACGAATTGCTGCTGGTATATAAATGGTTGGAATTTCGTAATAAATGGTAGCGAAGAGAAATAATCATATAGAAAGCATTCATACAAATAAACTCGATGTTGGCATGCGATTCTCAAGCATATACCCTAATTCAAAGCTGAATTATGACAGATACGGATTATATATGTAAAGCAGTATTGAACGCTTGTTACATAAGACAGTTACGATCGAATTGTCAATCGAATTACTAAATCCACTGTTCGAAATACTTCATTGTGAAATTTCGTGGATTTGAAACAGTTACGTTTGAAATTTTGAGCTTCCCGACAAAGTCGAATTGGCTGAAGTATGAATAACTATTTTTTAAACATTTTAATTCAGATCTGTTACACGAAGCACTCGGATATTTCAGCGTAGCAATAAATGAAGCATTTCTTCTTATTATTGATCGATTTTTAAATTTTTTCTTCGAAACTGCAAGCACCGAGTAAAAATGATCGATTTCGTCGTACAAAAACTTCTCGCAAAATGTCGTATCAACTGAGCCACAACTCGAGTTACGCGAGCTGTTTGCATTTTTCAGAATGCTAGTAAGCACTTATCGCTGCTATCTAACACTCCTTGTCATTGCCCTTTTCTCTTGCATTTCTCTCTCCCGTTTCCAATTTACAATGCAGAAGTGATTTAAATTTGTCACAAAAAGCAATTCTTGTAGAATTTTAGCCAAAAATAATGCTACTGGAGATCGCATGAAGCGCTTAAACTTCGAGACGGTTCCTTAAACAGCTCATGCTATCCGTAAGTATGAATAGCTGATTTCTATATCACGTAAGCGGTACAGTTAGTGACGTATTGCTCTGCATTTTAAGTGAAATTCTCTCAAGAGGTTTATAAAATCTATTAGCTTTGATAATAATCAGTTTACTCAAACAATTAGAAGTTAACAATAGTCAATAGTCAAAATATCGCAAGTAGTCAACTCGACATCCACTTTCGTGCAAAATTTCACAACGATCGTTTTTTGTAAGCAAGCATGAATCATTTCTGTCTTGTACACCAGAAATCAAAGATACAAATGCAAACAAAGGAACAGCAGTGAACGAATGCTCAGTGTCAATAACAGCTTACTGCCACATGGAAAAGATCGAGCAACTTTGCATGTGATCGAAAGTTTGCATGCAGTTTTTATATGATGAATTCAATCATTCACACCGACTGCATCGAAAGTCGAATTGAACATTCGCAAAAACGCCCAATTCATTAATATATTGAAACGTTTTGCGTCAACTTTAGGTATTTTGCATAGAGTGCTTCTCAAGCAACATGCACCACCACATTCGACCGATATTCCACAAAGCAACGAAGAAAGTTCTTTTTCTGCCACTTCTGCATCATCATAATGTATGTACATAGAGGAACAGAAT